TAAAGTTTTTTCAGTTGGGATTCCACATGCGTGTATTGTTGATTATGTGGGTTGTTGTGATTAGGACAAAGCGTTGTCCTAAGTGTTCAGGGACTGTCTAATGAGGATTTTAAAGCTTACAAAGGCGTGCTTGTGCCAGGCGTTTGGCAGATAGGAACCAGGAATGCTTATCGCGGGATCTGGTCCATCTCCGCTAAAACAATGTTTACATCGCCCCCACCCTACCTGCTCTCCGTTCTAAATCTCCGTCACTCCTAACGTGAAGAAATGCGTCTGATTCCTATTTGTCTGAGAATGTTAAAAGGCGTTTGGGGCGCTTTCCTGCGCCTTTGCTCCAGTTCTCATAGGCATGCAAGGTGGTAATGACTGACATTTCCTTTACACAAAACCTGCGATCTACTTCATCTTCGTAGATCCGTTTCTTCGGACCGTTCAAAGTCCTCGAAAAACATCTAAATCCAAGCATTCATCATCGAAGCGTGGATCGCGTGCGGTTGGAACATAACCGTTCTCTCACTCTTAAATGCGGTTTCATCCCACGAAACAATTCACCCACGAGTTGAGTCACCATCTGGTTCGAAGTTCAATTCATTCTTCTACTGTTGGGAAGTTATTAAAAGTTCTAGATGGCGTCAGCGCCGAGCTCGTCGTCCTTCCAATGTACCAGTCGAACCGATTCACCACCTTGATTCATTTCACCAATCAGAATTGGGTTTAATGCCAGTGTTGGTTCACTAGAACGGAACCATTTACCTAGCTGTGTCATTGCCAAGGGTCGAAAATCTAGTCACTTTTCGCCGGAACCAGCTCACCAGACCGCGTGTCGAATGGGTTCACTTGACCGAACTGATTCATCGTGAATCGAATGGGTTCACCAGGACGAACCGGTTCACATTCCGGGACTCAGTTCACCCCAACATAGGTTTCGGAGTTGACTCACCATCTCATAGTCGAATCAATTCACCACAGCGCTTTGATTCACATATTCGCTTCAGTCTCACCTGATCGGTTGTTGGCCATTTGATCCGGTTCACCTAGCCGCTCGATGTTTTCGTCCAGAGTGATTCTCAGTAATTCGGTCTCATTCACCTCAGGTGAATCAGGATATCCCGTCCTTGTCAGTCTAGACTAAGTAGCGTAATTTTGCGCACACTGTAACAATATTTACTTCCTCGGATCCCCACTTTCGTCATGCGCGGGTTGTATTGACCTGTGTTCCTGGAGCAAGCGTTGTCGGAATGTGCTCCCTTATCAAGGACGTTTTTAGAGCATGTAGACATGCTTGCTCCGTTGGCTGGCAGACAGAGCTCGTTACACTTTAAAAGTTGATCACCCTACAAACCCCACTTTTAAGGACCGTTATTAACTGCTTTCGTTGTCCGGAGATTCCCATGTCGGACGGTGATAATTTTATTGGCGTGATCATTAGATGTCTTCGGGTTCCGCCTCATCAAAATGCTCTGTGTTGCCAGCTGACTCACACACCCGATCTACATCGTCAAATCGCCGGAACCGATTCACCACACTGAATCGGTTCGCCATACCGAATGAATTCACTACACCGAATCGGTTCGCCATACCGAATGGATTCACCACACGAAATCGGTTAAGCCATACCGAATGGATTCACCAGACTGAACCGTTTAGATCACGCGGCGATGTGGATTTCGACATTGACTCAGTTTCTATCGCGAAACGGTTCACATCATCGATTCAATTCACAGTACCGAAGCGATTCACCTCGGCGGAACATTTCACCTCGCCTCACCCGGTTCATCTGAGCGTTCTAGATCTCCATCAGCTGAGATCATTTAAGCGTTTAGGATTACCAAACCGATCAGATCATAACGCTGATCCAGATCCGCGGACTGATTCAGATCGACGTCAACATTCCGGTTCACCACCCTGAACCAATTTACCAGCCGTATCGTTTCACCAGGCCGAAAAGCTCCTTATCGTCGAACCAGTTCACCTGGCGTTCAAGTTCACTGAATTGTCAGCATTTATCGAACTGTCAGCTTTTAGGTCGTCAATAATCCGTTCCTCGGACCTTGCCAGCAATTGAGCTTATTCATGAATTGGGCGATTCACCACTCGTGTTATTTCCAACACGACGCATCTTACCAGCCTATCAGAGCCTATGCCAAATGTGTCTGGGATGCCTCCCAAGACACTTAACCCACATCGAACCTTGTCTTTGTTTTCATGGTTTGGAGCTCACGCTTCAGTCAGCCTCGAACTCTGCTAGTTTTCAACACGATCATAGTTTTCAGGGCATCTGTGAGGCTGAATTCCTCATTCTGAAGTGGCAAGCTCTAAGCTCGACAATTTGATTTGTTTATCCGGTTTACCCTACGGCTTGTGAGGTGCTTAATGTTATTAGTCACATAACTTATCCCACCTTGTACCCTTTTTGGGATGATTGTACAGAGGTAGTAGCTATGTGCTTCACCCTGCCGAATTGATTTACATGTGATGTCAGTAGCGCGCAGTCATCTAGAGATATCACGTTCGGCGCTTGGACGGGTCTGATTTTGATCCCAGTTCTTAAGAGTCCTCTGTGACAGGGGCTCATCTCATTCAGATTTAATCTACCATCCGATCTTCACCTTTGATGAATGATTCGGTTCAACGATTCTACCCTTCGGGTGTAGATATCAGTTCTACAACCAATCTCGATATGGCATAACTAGATACGGCTTGCTAGCCAGGAATACTTTACGGCGGCTCTGATGAGTCTTGTTACTACAGACTACTGGTAACAAGCGTGTTTGTGTATCGCTGGGTGCAATTATTGCAGATGGTTCGTCATCTTCAGCTCCCTTTGTTTTACATGATAAGCAAGTTTCTGGACAGATAACAAATGGGTGAAGTTTTGGCGCATGGTACCAGCAGTGATGTTTGTCAAATAGCCAGCATAGCTCAGCCTGGAATTTATGGGTTGGCGCTCGCCCGGTTAACCGAAGACCATGTTGTCCATTTTTGTCACTGCGGTGTAACGCTTTGCAAATCGCGGACTACTGTTTGTTTACCTGAATTTTGATGATTAGAGGACTATGAAGTGCCCTTGCAGACTTGTCTTGGTCCCATGAATGGGATACCAAGTCCAGCCTTTAAATGCTAGTAACAATGAACGCTGCAATTCCCCGTAAGAGTGAATGTGTCGGGATTTTGACAGCCAGTCGAGAGAGACTGCTTATCGAGGGTGACAGACAGAAAAACACCCGCGGAACGGTTTGACTAGTTCAAGCACTGAGTTCAGGAGGTCACTGCAGTTCTGCAAGGACTGTCACCAGGCAGCGCATCTACTACCTTTATCACCTCTGGCGCACTCATCATTTTGTTCGGCCAACCTAAACGCTCCTGAGGTCAACACCGATCGCATCGAATTTCTACAATTCAAGCTTACAATGCGCTCAACATATTACATTGAGCACTCCGTCAGAACTGACGTAGTTGCGCTCGACTTCTATTGAACGCTCCTATAACAGGAGATATCTTTTGTCAGAGGCAAGAGTGGTTAGACCTCTCATTTCCCTCTGACCCGCGCCTGTGGAGGTTGTTTCAAAGCAGGGGCTGGCCGGATACTAGTCGCCAGACCTTGAAATCGCGGGTAATGGCGACTGATTACACTTTCTCTCGTTAAGCCGCGCCCTTTCACTTTCGCATGAAGGTAGTGACTGAACACCACATTGCTCGGGAATCCTTGGTCCCTGGAGCACCTCGTGTTAGTAAGTCAATGGGTTCGAACTAACCATCGCGTATGTCTCGCTTTTGAGACGCTGGAGGGTCGCCACCACTTACTGTCCTCTGCTCCACGGAGCAAATACGCCAGTGAAGTGAGTCATTCCCGGGCGTTACACTTCGTAAGGCGTTCATGCTCCTAATGCACTCTATACACATCTATGTGGATCTTACTGTGGTAAGTAGTGGAGTTTTTCTGATTCAATTACCTTTGACCCTCCTCGGACGGTGTCTGTGGGGGTTGTTTCAAGCAGGGCTGGCCCGATACTAGTTGTTAGACTTTTATTACGGGGTACCTTGGAAATCGTGGCAATGCGACTGATTACACTCTCGCTAAGCTGCATCCTTTCACTTTGTGAAGGTAGTGACTGAACACCACATTGCTTTCGGGAATCCCGTCCCTGGGAGCACTTGTGCTTAGTAAGTCAATGGGTTCGCGACTAACCCTCACACGTAGTAACTTTGGTAGTTATTGGCCTGCCTTGTAGTTGCTTCCTACGGTTGTTTTGGCATAACGCTTTAGCTGTTATCACTTGAACTTCGGTAATCTATGACCCACCTTCCTACCGTGGGATAAGTGCAAAAGTCGTGAGATAGGATAAGTTTAAAAATTTGTAAATTTTAACTATAAATTGTATATTTATATACTTATCCTATCTCACGCCATAAAGTCACACCCTACCTCCCCACTACTTAGATTACCACCGCCCGGGTTTTGTCCTTTTATGGCTCCAAGATCGAGAATGAGTATGGAAGGTGATCACGCAGGTGAGGACTGAGCATGCCACGCTGTCACGCCCTAGTGAGCATGGCTAAGGCAGGAAGGCATGCACAGCACGGGACAGGGACAAGGAAGGCCTGGAGCAAAAATTAATTCGTTTCCACTCATGGTTGAATGAAGAGAGAGGTGCAAGTCGTGAGATAGGATAAGTATATAAATATACAATTTATAGTTAAAATTTCCAATTACACTCTATCACCTTAACCAACATATTCTCAATTAAACACAGTCAATTAAATGCATACCTACCATTCTATTGAACCTGTTGTCAAATTCATGTCTCAGATGTGTGCTCATTTTGTATTTTACCTGTTGAGCACAAACTTCTTGGCAGTAGTGCAAAAGCAATTATGCATTACTTCTGAACTTTCTGAAATGATTTCTTGTCTTGCAATTAACTAATGCTAATAGTGCAATATAGCTGTTATAGTATGTACAGTACCTATGACACTTCAAATATTTTTGTTTGTTTCAGAAGCAGAAGACATCCGTGTGAAAGCGCTTTTTGAGGTAGAAGTCTTGGATTCAAGGAAAAAGTCAAAAAGGAAAGTCAGGGCAAATAGTTCTAGATCCCTAAAGCTTGATGCATATCAATGGCAATATCTGACATCACAAACAAATCTTTGGAACAAAGTAAATAAGGGTCATGAACACTTAATGGCCAGTATTGTGAATATTTCAGTACCAGAGCATAATCATGTGATTGTTTCCTTTCAAGGAAATAGGGGGAAAACATTTTCATTTGATGAATTTTGATGAGTGGATGAATTTGGTCTGTGAAATCTTAAATAGATATGATAATTTCATCATCTGGAAGAAACTCTGTTTCAAGGAAACATTTGATGTTGCAAGGAAAAATACTTTCAAAAGAACATTTTGTTGGTCTAAATGTCATATTCATACCAGAAATGGATGATACCTCCATTGTTATAGTCACTGATAAAGAAAATAAGGAAAAGGTATCTAGTGCCATGGAGCTGAATTAAGGAAGCTCATCCCTGGTACATCACAGGATGCTTCCAGTGAAGAAGAATTGGGATGAACAGAGCAAAGTTCCAGATCAAACCAATGCAGAGGCAAGGGAAAATGTCACAGAACAACCAGAGGAAAATGCAATTGGTAATCAGGAGCAACAGGGCTCACACACTCAGGAATCATTTGAGAATCAAGCACAGAAGGCCAAAACAACAAATCAAGCTTCCCAAAATGGATCAACAAAAGCATGAGTGTCAGTGATAATCAGCCTTCACAACAGAAGACAAACACAAGAAAGTCCAGATTGCACTAATCATGGATGCAGATGGGTTTGCCAAATGTGAGAAAAGTTTTTCGACATGGAAAAATGTTTCTTCTAACTTTGAAAAGATGACTCAACACACAGTTATGGCCAATCAACAAATGATCATTTGTGAGGGATACGATCATTGTGTTCAAGATTTTATCAGTCAAGTAACTAATGTACTGTCTGTAAAGCCTTTCACTCTGGATGAATGGTCCCGTCACAACCCAGCCACTGTAGTTTTGACCCTGCCAGATAAAGATCTCAAAATTCTGTTGAACAATAAAGCTGTTCAAAGTGAAGTTTCTAAACAACTGTTGGCTGCAAACTTTGTTTGTCACATTGAGAAAAACCAATTACAAATTTGGCATAAACTGCATGCAGACCCTGGACTTGCTAAAGACATTATTTCAAAGGCTGTGAGACATATTATTGTCTCTCTCAAACCCTCGGCCAGGACACACAGTTTCAGGATTTCAAGAAGTTCGTTGAGGAACATTCTGGATTGGTTGAGGTCTATCAACATGAAGGTTATGCCTGGGTAGCATACCTATCAAGTGAATCTCGCTTCTATTGAGGGAAGAAATAAAAGAATATGAAGATACACGGTCAAAGCAGAGCACTTTGAAGTAGTGCCTGAGGATGAATATCGTTTCCATGGATGCTGTAGTCAAAAAGGTATCAAAATGTTGACAACTGATGAGAATACTGTTATTACACTCACGAAAGGCAATAAAGGATGTGGATTTCTCATAGTAGGATCAAGAAATTCAATTTTGAAGGCAAAAACTGCTATAAAGGAAATAAGACCTGCCCAAAACATTTTTCCTGTTGACCATGATCATTTTGAATGGTTACAGTCTCATGGCAAAACCTTTTTGCAAAATGTTGAGGAAACAAACAAGTGCATCATTTCAACGAAAGACGGCATAGATAGTACCTTTGAACCTGAGGATGTCTTGAAAGTGATTTATTGCTATTCTACTGGTTCAAGTGCTGCTGTGAAATGTGCAAAACTTGTAACAGGAGACTTAAGAAGTTTGCAACCAGATGTGATTGCTGTCCCTGTGTGGGGTGAGCAACATGCAGGACAGAGCATCACTCTGAAGCATCTCTTCAAAAGTATAGTAAGTAAGGCTTTCCATGGGATCATGACCACGAAGTCAGGTTTAGCTGGACTGGAGTCCATTTTCTTGGACTTGAGGACTCTATAGGAGTAATAACTCTAATTGGAGTTACGCTGTCAGACTGTCTGTCTGCCATGTGCTCAGCATGAGCGTAACGTAACGGCTGATATTATACATTGTTTGAGATTTCACTTCTTAAAATAATTAGGTAACTATCTTGTGGACAATTTATAGACATGGACAAAGATAAAAATCAAATGTATAGGTGTATTTTGATCTGGACAGTAAAAAGAGAAGGAAAAAAATGTTGTCTGTGCAATGTATCACTGAGTTATGCAGGAGTACAACCAGTACGGCATGAAATAGTATAATCTGTTTGTCATGTAAACATCCAAATACTGATTCTGACCAGCCAAAATGAAAGCAGGCCACTCTTCAACATTTAGCAACTTTCAATACCCCCCAAAACCTTGTAGATAGAAAGTGGTATGAAAGGGTCACACAGAAAGCAATGCTTGACCTGCAAACCACTAGACACGAGAAAGCAGACGCTTTTCGCGGCATTTTGTGACAAGTCCCATGCTCAGCCACTCTCCACAATTATAAAATGGCATAAGACATTTATCGAAGCTTAAGTCAGAGCTATTCCATATGTTGCACTCACCACAGACATATGGGCCAAGCATAAGCAACAGAGGATCGCTCGAAGTTTAAATCTTTCAAAGTTTATAGTTAAATTTGGTGATACAGCAAGTTAGAAGATGTTACACTTCAGATGATGTAACTGGCAATTTACCAGTCTGCCAGTTAAACCGGGTTGAGGCGCGTCTTGGGCAGGTCGTCTACAGGCCAGGCTAGTGATCAAGCAAGCTTGAGGTGCCGGGATCAAGCCCACCTGTGGCTGGGTGTTAAAACCTTTGGAGTCAACTTTGTGTGCAGACTCTTTCAGTGTTGTCACAACCCCTAGTGTACAGTACACAACCCTGTGCACTTAAAAGAACTAACGCTTGGTAAATGACCAGATGGTGGCCACATAAATACTTGCCAACACCTTTAGGTTGGGCGGGTAGCAGCAACGCAGTAAATACCTGTAACTGTGTCCCAGTCCAGCTAGCTGTGAATGGGTAACTCATAATAATGGGAAAGCCACATTAACTAGGTGCCCTAGTGGCTGCAAGAGTTGTATGGTCCCCAGGAGTTAAGATTGATAATATAATGTGCTGATGAAGATTGACATCACAAAGCACCTGTGAGCAGCCTAGCTGAACTCAGCACTTTATAAATAGATTATAGTTCATAATTTTGTCAGTGAACAACATTACAACTCTCTTCGCATGTTTAATTGACATTTCTTATGTTCTCTCAATTCCTCTTTGATATTTTTAAAAATGTGAGAGAGGTGAATTATTTATTTGTTGATTTGTTTTAAGTTTATATCAACGTATTATGTTTGAGAAAATATGGAAACTTGCATTCTATGAGTTAAGGTGTGTCTGAGATTATAATGATTATCAGTGTTGACAACAATACAATCACTAAGCATTTAGGCGTTTCTTATTTGTGGTTTGTTTACTAACAACTTAACCAACAGGCAAACTGGTTAACATTAAATAAGTGATTTATTTGTTTGTCAGTATCCTCTGATGTTCAAACATTTGAGTGAAAGTGAAGATGTGAAGAATACCTTTCTATGGTCTTAACTCTCTTGAATCTTGATACTGTTCATTAAGCATCTTGAAATGTAACATAATGCCTTGATCTTTGTTTGATATTATCCCTTTCATTATACCAAGTCATAGTTTATCATTTTTGAAAACGTAATTATGAAAGCAATTATCAACGTAGAAAATAGTCAGTAAGTAATTTCTGGGGAAACAATTGTTAAAGTCCATCAATATCAATTAAGTGTAAATTTTCCTTTTAACTATCTTGTATTCAATGAATTATGCTGATTGTAAGTGTTCATTTCATTGGTTCTCAATTCACTAACAACAACCAATAGCTGATTATGTCTGCTTCGTGGATGCACATAATGCACAGCAACTTGAACCCACCTAAAGTTGCCACACCTAGTAGTACCTCTGTCATGTGCTGTTTTCTACTAAGTATATTAGTAATACATGAAATTCTATGAAACTATATTACATATTATAACAATGGAAAAATATATAACATGAAGATATCAAGTGAGAAATGAAGTAATTGTTACTTCTAGATGATCGAACACATTTCATGCCTTAAACTGTAATGGTTTAAAACATGAATGTGCATTACTAAGTTACCAACTTCAATGTTGATCAAACAAATCATCTTATTGTGTAATGTCACCAGTTACGCCTATGGTTTTGCTTTGAAAGGTGGCTGAATTTCGAAAGTACTCGGGTCCCGTGGACCTTTGAAGCCCCTAATGGTGTTTTCCTTTTGTGTTTGTTCCTTCATAGGTAAACAGAATTGTGAATCAGCAGCCTCGTGAGCATATTCAGACTTCCTAGACATGATTTAATTCATATTTGCTGTACTTAAATAAGTGAAGTTAGTGAAATGTACCTCTGATGTATTGATTTAACTGCTTTGTTCTTGTATTCTCTCAGGGATTGATGCTGATGTACCTATAGTCTCATGGAAGTTTCAAAAATGAAGCCCTTGGAAGACAGTACTTTGTGTGTTTCTCTGAGGCCAAGATTGATAAAAAATCAGTGGACATAGCATTTGTTTTGATGCCTCCTGGATGGGGAAAAAATGAAAACCAAGAAAGACAGAGGATACTGACTGCAACAAGTGAATTGTTGAAGGAGGTGTACAAGCGATTTGGTCAACGAAAGATTGTTTTAGATTTGAAAGAGATACATGAAAATGCAACAGAGAAGGGTGTGAAAGCTGTGCTTTTTGCTGTATCTGATGTTTTCATCAAAGAAACCAAACTATCAGTGGAACTCTTTCTTTCAGTGGAAGATATTCAATTAGCGGCTAGTCTTAAAACAGTATTTATAAAGGCAGCGGGACTTGGTATGTATACATTAAGGATCATGTTGTAATATAGAATTAATAGATCTTTTATGTGCAGTGACTCTGATGGTCAGTTTGTTTCCTCCTGCTAAACATACAGTGTTTCGAAATTTGATGATGCCCTACTGTGGAGTTGATACCTTTCATTCGCATCTGTTCAAACGTCAGTACCTATAAATTGCCTAAACTTTAGATAAGAAGTACCCGTGTATGACCTCGCGAGCGATGTAGTTTGGCATGAAATGCATGTGGACCTTCGCTTTTTGTAAATATCACTTCCATCCAATGATCCAATCGATCCTCAAACTGTGCAAGTGGGATGTTTTGGTCAGGACAACCTAATCAGCATTGTAAATCACCGTGATTTTATGCATTTGTATTAAAGAATCTGTCTATGTAACTTCGTCAACAGGCCAAATGCAGTATGAACGCGAACCGTTTGGTAGTGGGGAGGGAGCTACCGACCTGCAATAGCTGCAGTGTTAGGTCATAAAGGTAAAATGCACGCAGCAGTTCATGATAGTTACCTGTAACACTGCACAGTGGATAGACCGCTTGGACTCATCTTTTACATTGACTACTTTGTAGCCAATCATCATGAAAGTTTATTCAGATGATGCTAAACATTTAATTAGAAATGTGTTGAATTTTTTTTAAAAAGAGAGCAAACGTAGTAAAACCGATTTATAAGTAGTGTCGGATTATACGAAACGTATTATAACTTTGCTCTTTGGCATGAAAAAGAAATACCTACAAAACGTCCAACAACCATTGTGCAATAATGTAAACTGAAACGAAGTAGCTACTAA